CCCCTCCTCCACCATGTACCCTCTGTTATCCCACCCCCTCCTCCACCATGTACCCTCTGTTATCCCAACCCCTCCTCCACCATGTACCCTCTGTTATCCCACCCCCTCCTCCACCATGTACCCTCTGTTATCCCAACCCCTCCTCCACCATGTACCCTCTGTTATCCCAACCCCTCCTCCACCATGTACCCCCTGTTATCCCACCCCCTCCTCCACCATGTACCCCTCCTCCACCATGTAACCCCTCTCTATCTCTTCCTCCCCCATAAAGTGGCGCTGACCTGCCTCCAGGGTCATGTGATCCTCCCCCACCCCCCCCAGGTATCGCGGTCATTTGGGTTCCATTATTTATCTTCACATTATGTTATTTATCATGTTGGAGTTTTATAAATAAAGTTTTTCCTGTTTTATTTTGTCTCCTCGTCATATTGTGGGCGGAGCTCCAGACAAATATTATTTTATAGATTCATTTTATTACACAAAAAACTTCAACATTGTCTCCGGCGGTCAGGTGGGGCGAATATTGAGGAGGCCCCGCCCACCAGGGACACGATTATTGGCCGATGCGGCGCTCCCGTCTAGGAGGGCGATATTCTGGTCAGTGCTGAACGCTTCCTCCATCTCGGATACCATGTGGAATGTTCCGGAGGATTCCGCGGAGTTCCCGCTGCGGGGTCAGTGACCTGCGTGAGGACAGGAAGGAGGATATGACATTATTCCAACATAACCCCATAAGGATCCTTATTTCCAGATCCGTCCAATGAGATTTCATAATGACAGTCACATGACCGAAATAAAGATCCTTATCCGGTGGTTCCATTCCGGTATTTTATCTTCTGAGGTTCTGATCCTCCTTCAGCCCGACTCATACTGAGCGCTCCCAATGTGTCATCTGCACCTGCCCGGCATGGACCCTCCTCCTCCTCATTTCAGCCAATCACACCTCAGAATTTACCCGTCATCATCTCATTGATGTTCATTCCGGTCATGTGAAAAAGTAAGTACACCCCATGGAAATGGCTGCCTATTCCAGCCGGAAAACATTGGACCTCCGTTCCCAAAAGGTTGACATGTGTCTGATCTCTACATACAGCCAGGGGCCCCCCATCCCCTCCCCCC